GTATGGATTCCTAAAACATTAATGTTAACCTTTGACAAATATACCTCTAGCCAGTTACAGACCACAAATCAAGAGCAAGAGCAATACAAACGTGACTATTAACAAATCATGGTACTCTTAAGCAAGGTTTCGCAAGACCCCATGCAACCAACCAACCAACCATCCATCAAACTGTTGTGAAATTATGCACAATAGTGTCCTCAGTGTTTTAAAATAATTTTGGGTAATCAGCCAAATAAAACAATGGCATTCAAGTAATTCAAATTCTTTGGTCATTTCTAAATCTAGACTTGCATTTTTTGTTCATTTATCACACAAAAAAACCAATAGAAATGGTTAAAATTATTCTTGCTTACTGACCTCGGGGACTTAAGAAATGGCCTACTGCTGGGAGACAACCGTAGTTGACCTAATTGTCAGACCATCGATGGGTTTTTCGGGGCGCAATGGTAGCAATTTGCGTTGAACTCGTTAGGCCAAGGGGAAGAGTTTTCCTATTCACTCCAATTATCTCACACCTAGAGGTGGGAAAAATAGATGTTTGACCGTCAAAACACTAAATTAGGAAAAACAAAACCGCCTGTAAGTAGTCACCTTGGATGACCTCACCTCGAGCAGGTTACACTGTCGCTGAAATGAGGGACGGCAAAAAGAAAGGGACCGATTGAAAATATTTTGTTATATATATATATATATATATATATATTTATTTATTCAAAAAAGTATTGTCACATACACCGGATAGGTGCATTGGAATGTGTTCTTTTACAGGGCGTTTAAGCAGACTTTTTTCTTCAATAGATTTTGAATCACAAATGTTGAAGACAAGTATTGGTCTTTCATGGCTCTACTGCTCCCTCTGCTGCTATAAAGTAAACTCACACCACAAGGCTCATCATTTCATAGTAGGCTTCTGCCTATTCACTACTATACATACAAAATAATAACCCATTTCCAATATGCAACGTCATTAGTTGTTGTTGATCAAAGTGGTTTTATTTGTAAAAACAAAAATAACAATATGTAACAACTTCTGAGATAAATACATATTATATATTTGTTGATAGTTGACATAGAAATACCAAAGACCTCTCTGGAAGAACAAAATTAAAACCATTCTGCTGAGAAGATATTTCTAGGGAAGAAAGAATTGCATTTGTGTTTGCTTTTTAAACTGTAAAGTTAGTGTCAAAATTGTCTAGCTAAAATAGATTCTGATCAAATAGATTCTGATCATCTTTCTTGTTAAATAAAATAAGGATGTGTGTACACAAAAAAAATACAATGTTTCATTACAAAATGACATTCTACAAATGAGTCTTATATACACATTTTAAGCATTAAATTAAACTAGAATACCTGCAAAATGGGAAGTATGTGATACAGGCCACTATACACTTGGGAGAAAGGCTGTTTGTTGTTGTTTACTTGCCCTCCATTCACCCTTTATTGCTTTTTAGTGAGGTCTTAGAGGTGACCTTTACAACAAACATGCAGCATTCAGTGGAATGATATATTGTAGCAATAATAAGTGTTGTGCATCGATTCATGAACATTTAAATCTCTACTGAATATTTTCCTATAGTGCCATAAACAGAATAGTTAAAAACATTTGATGCCTCTGACTGCAAACCTTGAGTTCCCTCTAAACTTGAATCACCAAAAAGGTTGTGGTCAACAGACTATCCCTTATTTTCCCAAAGCAAAGGCCTGATCTTTATCCCAACAGGCCTCATGATTTTCCCAAATGAATGAAATATATTTTTTAATGGAAAGGCTTCAATGTTATTGCAAAAGATGAAGACTCCAAGATATCCCAAAAGTAATCCCTTTGCCAGTCTGCAACAAGTAAGGCTAAGCATCCCATAGTAACAGGCAGTGGATCATTCTGATGATACTTATCACATTGTTATTTGGTTTTAATCATCATATTTGCTCCATCTGGACCTGTCACTCAGTGTAGCAATAAGGTGATCCATGTCTTTACAAAGCCACAGAGCTACACTACATGCTCGTCGAACATTTCATTCCAAAATCATGGGCATTAATATGGAGTTGGTCCCCCCTTTGTTGCTATAAGAGCCTCCACTCTTCTGGGAAGGCTTTCCACTAGATGTTTGAACATTGCTGCAGGGACTTGCTTCCATTCAGCCACAAGAGCATTAGTGAGGTCAGGCACTGATGTTGGGCGATTAGACCTGGCTCGCAGTTGGCGTTCCAATTAATCTCAAAAGTGTTCAATGGGGTTGAGGTCAGGGCTCTGTGCAGGCCAGTCAAGTTCTTCCACACCGATCTCGACAAACCATTTCTGTACAGACCTCGCTTTGTCCACGGGGGCATTGTCATGCTGAAACAGGAAAGGGCCTTCCCCAAACTGTTGCCACAAAGTTGGAAGCAAATAATCGTCTAGAATGTCATTGTACGCTGTAGCGTTAAGATTTCCCTTCACTGGAACTAAGGGGCCTAGCCCAAACCATGAAAAACAGCCCCAGACCATTATTCCTCCTCCACCAAACTTTACAGTTGGCACTATGTATTGGGGGCAGGTAGCGTTCTCCTGGCATCCGCCAAACCCAGATGGTGAAGCGTGATTCACACTACAGAGAACGCGTTTCCACTGCTCCAGAGTCCAATGGCGGCGAGCTTTACATCACTCCAGCCGACGCTTGGCATTGCGCATGGTGATCTTAAGTTTGTGTGCGGCTGCTCGGCCATGGAACCCCATTTCATGAAGCTCCCGACGAACCGTTCTTGTGCCGACGTCGCTTCCAGAGGCAGTTTGGAACTCGGTAGTGAGTGTTGCAACCAAGGACAGAATATTTTTATATACGCTACGCGCATCAGCAGTCCCGTTCTGTGAGCTTGTGTGGCCTACCACTTCACGGCTGAGCGGTTGTTGCTCCTAGACGTTTCCACTTCACAATAACAGCACTTACAGTTGACCGGGGCAGCTCTAGCAGGGCAGAAATTTTACCAACTGACTTGTTGGAAAGGTGGCATCCTATGACGTGCAACGTTGAAAGTCACTGAGCTCTTCAGTAAGGCCATTCTACTGCAAATGTTTGTCTATGGAGATTGCATGGCTGTGTGCTTGATTTTATACAACTGTCAGCAACGAATGTGGCTGAAATAGCTGAATCCACTCATTTGAAGGGGTGTCCACATACACAAAAGTAACTAGCCTGCAAGGTCCACATCACCCAACACCTATGCAGAGGAGCAGAGGTCAGCACTATACAGCTGGTTTGTTCCACAAAAACAGTGCCTTTTGCATCCCTTTGATATTTTAAGTAGTAATTGTGCACCAATATTGAATTTTAACAGCCTGTTATATTAAATGAAGTGCCCTTTAATAAAGACCACATGGATAATTAAATAAATTCAGCATTTTGACATGTGCCTTCGTGCACCCTCTGACTTCAAGGAAGATTTTAACCCACTTAACCCTAAAATTTCTCCAAGTTTTCACCATCATTGTAAAGTTATTTTGTTGCTTTGACAAAGTAATTTTGAAGATTCACAAGGGGATTCATGGCTGATTTAAGATTAAATCACCAACCCTGTTACAGTCAATCCTGTTACGTTATTTGGCACTTTTTTCCCTTTTATTTAACCTCGAGATGGGAAAGTGTTTAAAAAAGTATAAAGTTGAACATGTGCTCTTTATGACAGAATGTTAAAATGAGGTGAAATTAAACTTTTTTTGACCAAGTTACACTTTCAAAAGGCACCGCAATTGGTGGAATGATCCAGCTAACTGCTATGGCACTCACACGCCCCCAAAAAGTTGAAATATGAACATACACGAATACTGTACATACATGATTCGGAGAAGACTATGCATGTTGGCCACAAGACAAATTGGTTTTAAGAAACCCAAGGGCAGGAATGTGTCATATCATTGTGAGGAATGTCCAGTCCTCTCTCCTTCTTGCTTACCTTACATGAGTTAAATGCTACATTGTAACTGGATTGCCTGGCACAGTGAGGATTTGTGTTTGGTCTCAAGACATTAGGCCCATTATCACCTGGCAGGGAGAATAGATAACCACAGGCCATGGAGGCCGAAGATTTATGCACATGTTGTACAAGGCACATATCATATGTCACATTTTACTGTAGAGTAAAACAAGCTTGCAAGTTCCTTTGAAAGTATGGATTTGACACGGAATTATGTCCTCATAGTGTAAATTTGAGACAAGCGTGCTGGGAGTTCCTTTTTAGGAAGGGGAAGTCAGCAGCTGGAATAACAGAATATACAGGAAAACACACCAAGGCTGCTCTCTGGTGGTGAAGGATGGAAGCTCTTTACTTATCACTAAGGCCAACTGGGACTTGACTCAACCAACCTGACTTGAAACAATATTTACCCATCTCTTTCTTAAGCATTATTCAGAATGAAATGGCAAGGGTTTACATTAACAATTTAATATATGCTAATTTCATTTAAAAAAGTATCAAAAGTAGTATAGCCCTGTTTTATAAAAGAGAACACTGTCTCCCTTACACATCACTAATAGTCAGAGTGAAGAAGCATGAAGAGGTAACATAAGGATGAAAGTATTCTAACACTTGGCAGTGATGCATTAGTGTATGCTGCTGATTGTGTGCTTGCTCTAGGCAATACGGTGTCTTAAAAGCAAGCAGAATACTGCAGCCCATGGTTGGGCCGCAGTGCCATTGGCCATGATACACCCAGTTGCTGGTATATGGCTGAGCTGTGCTAGTGCCTGATAAAGAGACAGAGGGCATGCACAGGGCCTGAGAGTGAGTGAGTGAATGACAACTGGAACATCCTCAGTAGAGCCACCCTGGAATCTCCCCCAGAGGTCAGAGGTGCCATAGGCCCAGCCTGGGGCAGAGCAAGGCTTTGTGTCTGGATGGCGTCAGCCTTTGACTCACACTGTGGAAGTGAGAGATGTCCAGGATAAAACAGGGGTTGTTCCAGTTCCTCTCTCACTCCCATCATGGCCAGTTCCACCTTCTGCCCACAGCGAGAGCTACAGGTATGTGTCCTGATGATCTGCCTCTGTGCTACTCAGGCTCTGTGTGGACTTCTGGAGGGGCGAGTCTTTGAGAAGAGACTGGTCGTTAAGGACTGGTTGGTCATTGAGGGCTGGTTGGTCATTGAGGGCTGGTTGGTCATTGAGGGCTGGTTGGTCATTGAGGGCTGGTTGGTCATTGAGGGCTGGTTGGTCATTGAGGGCTGGTTGGTCATTGAGGGCTGGTTGGTCATTGAGGGCTGGTTGGTCATTGAGGGCTGGTTGGTCATTGAGGGCTGGTTGTTGGGGCAGGGGAGAGTCTTTAGGTGTGTTTGGGAGGGGTGTGTCATTGACGAGGGGCGTCTGTACTGGTGAGTCTCTCAGAGTAGGCTGAGGCAGAGGATCTCTGAGTGGAAGCTGAGGGTCACCAGGTAAATTATAAGGGTTGGGGATCTCCGTGACAGGAGGGGTTTTCTTCATACTTCCTTTCTTCTTGCCCTTCTTCTCTCCCTTCTTCAGCTGAGGGGTGGGCTGAGGGGGAGGCAGGAGCGACTTGACGATGATGGTGGGGTTCTGACGAAGGTCCTGGCGACTGGGAGGCTCCGAGGCCATGATAGCCCTGGCACCGTGCATTCTGGGAGGGGACTTGCAGTGCAGTTCTCCGCGGTTCTTTCTCCAGCGCTTCAGCTGAACATGGTGCTCGCGCTCAATGTCCCGCTCTGACACAGGCACCTCTAGAACCTGAGGGAGGAGAAGACAGAGAGAGAGGTTACTGCTGGTCACTGATAGATTATAGGCATGCAGTACACTGTGAAACCTATGTACATAAATACTCAATTGGTTTAGTATATCTAGTAGGAAATGTGATTCAAAAAATTATAGTGCTAATGGCCAAGAGGAGAAAAGGCTCATCATTCCATTCCTTATCTTAACCTTGTTAGTAAATGTCAAACTGCCTGAGGCTAAAGGAGCTTCATAGTCACTCACAGTGAGGATGGTCAACTCTATCAGAGAGGCTATTGTCAAAGTGAAGAAACACTCACACGAAGCCAGGGAGGGACTAGACACTGACCAGTCAGAACTGTGTATCACTTTAACTTCCACTCTAAACTCTACTGTACTACTACATTTCTGAACAGCCATTGTTCTCTTTATCCAGGCACAGATGTCAATTCCACTCTGGGTAAAATAGCGGTGTTATGTCATTCTAATCTCTATGTAACTGGTCTCAGCAGCTATATGTACCCCAGCGTGCTTGAAGTCCAGTGTATCTCTACCGTCATTGACTCCCTGCTAGTGAAGTCCTTACCTCCCGGACGAGGAAGCCCTCCTGCATGTAGCGTGGCTCTATGGCCCTCAGCAGCTCCATGGTCTCATACTGGCCCTGACACGCCTTCAGCTTCTCACGGGTACCCAGCATGCACTTCAGCAGCACCAGGCCCACCCGGAAGATTATCTTCACACCTGAGGAGGGGTAAGAGGTCACACGGTCACTAACTGGACATGAGGGATGATTCCAGAGGTTAACATCCACAATTACAAGCATCACAGGAACTTTACTGATTATCCCAATTGGGTGATAAACAATACTGCAGATCTCCAGTGTATAAATTGGAGGTTGTAACTGAATGAATCCAAGACAGATGTTTGTGTGGGAGTTTCTGCAACTAACTAACCATCACAGAGGAACATGTCCCAGACGCGGAGCACTGAGGCCCAGGGCAGGGTGCGGGAGAACACACACATGAACCACTCTGTCATGTAGAGGATGGGCTCTATTTTCTGTTTCTCCAGGTGGCGGTAGGTTAGGGGGGAAACACGCCGCGTCAAGGCATACATGATCTCTCCATCTAACTGGATGGCCTCCTGCAGGGACAGAGGGGAGAGAGAGGAGTATGTAGTTTCATACTGACAGGAGAACAAAACATATCTTCCGTGGTCTACCTTACTCGATCCTGTAGTGCATTAGTGAAGGGTACATGTCTTACCAGCCCTGCACTGTAGTATCCAGGGAGGTACTTCTCACAAATTTGGACCAGCCCCCAGAATGCATCCTGTGGAAAAACATACAGATGATGGTGTAAGGAAATTGTGACTGGAACCATACCTTTAGAGGGAACCAAAACTAAAGCACACACTAGCAGCAGGAAAACTATAGGTGTAGCGTACATAAACAATTCCATCGTAACTAGGGTCACAAAAGGAAGGAAGCTGGTTGACAGCACTATTCACTGAGCTACATCACAGGTCAGGGAGTCATTGTGAGAGAACCACAGTTCAAGCATGAGCACAAGAGGCACAGGGCTCACCTCAGCAGGCATGTGCATGAGCAGCACAGCAGCAATGGGGGCCTGGGCTTGACAGTAGCCCTCCTCTGGCTTGTACAGTGTGTAGGCCTTCAGTACACGGAACAGGTCCTGCTGTCTGTATTGGTAAACAAACACACACACACAAACCCATGAACACAGCAATGAATACACACAAGGTCAAAGTAAGGTCAAACAAGACTAAAAGTCAAACATCAGTCCCTGAGTGAGGATAAATGATTCCATTGTGAGACAACTAACCCGTGGCCCCCTCGTGACACAAACATCTCATGGAAGGGGAATTGTCTGTGCAGGTCTTTTTCAATCACATCCAGCTCTTTTGGGTCTCCAGCCTGACTGTCCAGCTCCTGAAACAACACTAGGGAGAGTCAACCTCAGTCCCACACAGTAAAAACAAACAGAGAGCAAGGGAAAGAACATAACACACCTCGAACTTCCACCGGTTCTGTTCCCTCTTCACTTTTCCTCCTGACAGGTAGAGCCAAGCACGGCCTCGCAGTGAGGGAGGGATTCCTTTCTGGCACCGCAGTCTCACCTGTTAAACAGAGAGACAGAGAAATGTATTCATCACCAACCAAAGATTGTTCCAGTAAAAATAAAGCTGCATTGCAAGAGAGTTGTTATACTACAGTATTATAGACTCAGTATCGTTGACTGAACTGGAGGGACCCTGTATTCATGGAAAACAAAACAAGCCTTTGGACCTATACAATATTGTACGGGTTTAGTTGAATAACTCATTCACAGTTCTACTCAGTCTTTTGATTTTGACTGAGATCATAGGCTACTGCTACTCTTTCAAGAAGAGTATGAACAGCCATTGGAGGAAGTCATGGAACAACAAAGTAGAGAAGGGTAAACAGAGACACTATGACTCCTGACTGACCTCTGAGTCAACCAGCATAGCAGCCAGAGGAAACATTGCCTACTGATAATGTTTGTGTTTATTTAAGTGCGTGCGCTTGAGTGCGTTTCATGTGGTAATTCAACTAACCAAGTCCATACTTGAGATTGCAGTGAAAACAAGCTAGTCGCTGTCAAACCTGCAATCTCCACCCTAACTTTGTTACAGGGATGGGTCATGTGATGTTACCCCCACCCAGAGTCTTGCTCTGTCTCGTGTTCCAACATGGAGTCAGTGAGGAAGATAAAGGGATGGGATGGGTTGTGTCATGCCCTGCTGCTGACTCATGGGAATGAGATGTGGCTGAATTTTAATAGTTAACGTTAGACACACGGGTAGAACTGGCTAGGCAACTGGAGATGCAAACCAACCGGCCAGAGAGGCCACTGCCCAGAACAACCTCCATGAAGAAAAATGTCAAAAGCTTTACACTTCTTCCAACCATTAAAGTTTACTGGGGAACAAACAAGTCAGTGTCTGACATGCAGGTTAATCACTGGCTTGTCTGTGAATTATTAGGGAACGCAAACAGTGTTGTTGTCCTAACAGTAACTGTGCAGTAGCAGCCATTCCATTCCAATCCAGCCCAAACCCACAACATGCCTGGACAGAGGATGGCATGGAAGTAATACTTAGATTTAAAAAACCAGGGCAGAGTGCCAACAAGACGCAAGAACTAACTAGGCCCTGGTTGGCTAATAACATAATAAGGAGTTGCCACATACTGTGCAATAACTTACTTGGGATCGTTTGAGGAATAATTAAGACCAGATGGTAAGAGACAGTATCACAACAGTCTAGACACGGCAACAAATTAAGTTGTGTCAGACCTATAAATGTTCCAACTCTCAGCAACTCTCTGACCTTTTTGTGTCTCTTGACCATCCATTTGTTCCAGTTGCTTAGCATGTCCAGCCACTTGACCTCTCGCTGCCTCAGCACCTCTGGAGGAACATCCTGAGCCCTGAGGGAGACAGAAGAACAAGAGGAGGAAATGTTAGAACTTCCTAAATATAAGCAAAATTATATAATTAATTTTAGAAAGGTGTGTGTGTTACAGCTTTCCAGAGTTCCAAATTGTTTTATAAAAAAAGGTATAGAACTAGAATGCAAATAAACAGGTTTTGAAGCATTAAAGATAAGAAATTCAAGCAGGCGGAAAGGATATAACAGGTATCTGAGAGGCATTACATTTTCCCTCTACGTACTTAGGCAGGGCGTGCCTGGCGCAGAGCCAGACAAGAGATTAGTTAATGCTATAATGTGGTAAGTTTGGCTCCATGCCGCCATCCAAGAAACGGAACTGAGAATGGAACATTCTCACAAAGCATGAGAAAATATATAGGCCTAACGTTTTCTTATAGCTTGGCCTGGTGGCGCTCAAGTAGCATGTAATCATCAGCATATCCTAGTAATCATGGGATATAAGAAGTCTTCAGAGAGGCCTTTAAATTTGGACAACCCTCTTTCCTCTTAAAGCCAGAATCCTTAGTTGCTGCATCTACTTTTTGTCTTTGAAATGATTGATCTATACCCATTGATTCTTGAAGAATATAACTTATAAATGCCTCATGAGCTTAGTTCAACTGTAGTACCCCATCAGAACCCAAAATATTTTACTCAAATGTTTGTAAACAAGAACTGTTTAGCCTCAAAGCATGGTTAAAACAGAGCTATGGATACAAGGACTGACCATCCATGATATCACATGTATTGTCTATGAATTTGAGAGCAGTTACATTTCTCCAGACCCATCTCTTACCTTTTTAGCTAAACAGGGGCGGGGAAACTCTGTTATTTTTTTTATTTTATAAAAAAAAATGTTCACCTTTATTTAACCAGGTAAGCCAGTTGAGAACAAGTTCTCATTTACAACTGCGAACTGGCCAAGATAAAGCAAAGCAGCGCGATAAAAACAACAACACAGAGTTACATATGGGGTAAACAAAACATAAAGTCAAAAATACAACAGAAAATATATATACAGTGTGTGCGAATGTAGTAAATTATGGAGGTAAGGCAATAAATAGGCCATAGTGCAAAATAGTTACAATTTTGTATTAACACTGGAATGATAGATGTGCAAAAGATGATGTGCAAATAGAGATACTGGGGTGCAAATTAGCTAAATAAATAACAATATGGGGATGAGGTAGTTGGATGGGCTAATTACAGATGGGCTGTGTACAGGTGGTGATCGGTAAGCTGCTCTGACAACTGACGCCTAAAGTTCTACACAAATGAAAATAAATTGACTCTGCTGTACTCAAGTTGAATTTTGTTCATCCCATATAAATCCTAATAAAAAAAACTTCCTATAAAACCCTGAGCCAAAAGAGGCACACCAACAATGAGGAGCCAGAATTGTGGCACAAGGCCAGCCAACCCTACAGAAAACAGGAAGCTCCTGGGCAGTGCTTGGCACAAATTTCACTCATTCCTTCCACTTGCAGTGTGCTACACTGCAGGGCCAAGGGGCATGACATAAGAACAAAGACTTCTCACAATTAGAGAGACTTACCTCTTCTTGCCTCTGGCAAAACCATAAAAGAGGAAATTGGAATAAAATACATAATATTTTTGAGGTATTAAGTTATTTGGAAGGCGAAGGGAGCATTAACCCAATGAGAGAAAATCCAGTTGTGTAATTGTACTCTAACTATGCATCCTAAGCTGGAAGCTATTAACGTAAGCCTACTATTAAAAGAAAAGAGACAAGTCAAAGGCATGAAAAATATGTGCTGAACCAAGTGTAAAAGGAAGAATGTGCTCAAGAAAACAAAATCTGGTGTCCCTCCAATCATGAAAGGGAGCGTTTGAGTCCCCATGCTGCATAGCCCAAATGTTTTAATATGACGTCAGTGTCCATAAGGCATTGTGATTCAAAGACGCAACAAATGAGGGAGATGAACAGGAAAGGAGATTAAGGTGATAAAGCCAGTCAGCGTCGCCCTTCACACCCCAGAGGTTATTCTCGGTTCCCCCTTTCAGAGTATTCTGTTCTTATCATCCTAGGCAAGACCAAAAACTGTATGTAAGCAGAGCGTCTGCTAAATGACTAAAATGTAAACAAACAATCAGGGGCCTCCCCAGAACTTCAGAGCAGGCTGGTGGCTTGAAGGGAGGGACTCTGCTTACAGAAACTTTATGATGCTAGTAGTCCACTGTTTGAGTAAATTTGTTCACAGATCTTAAAATAGTACACGGTATTTAAACAACTTAGTTTGATAAATAAATCACATTCGGTAAGAACAGTGAGTTTCTGCCAAGTCCACCTCAAACGGCCCCATTCACATATTAACTAGGTGACGTGATTGGGAGGTTGATACTGGAGGCATGTCTTTTTTATAGATGGGACTAGAGAATGTAACCCTTAAAAAAACACATTTGATGTAGTCACATTTCACATTTCCGCACCAAAGTTGTGAGAGTTAGCCAAGTAACTATAGGAGTGTGCAAGTTTACAAATTATATGGGGCAATGTGAGCAGAACACCAACGTTACTTACGATTGTTCGGAATACTGTTGCGCCCCTCCAATAAATCCATATTTATCCGTATGCCTGTCGTTGGTAAAGCCGTTGATCTCGGAGTCTGAGCCAAGGGAGCTCTCGTCGTCCATATGACTGGTGCTAATGGTCCTGATACTTATCGAGTCGGCCGACTGGCGACCATTCTCTATTTTAGCCATGATTCGCTCAATAATACATATATTTCTTTGGCACGGTCACAACCAACAGTATGTAACCAGACGAACGTTTACAAACAAAACCAATGCCATGGCATGGAATACGTAGCTTGTCTAGCTAGCTAGGCTAAATTGGCTGCTAACGATAGCTGTCAGGACTAGCTAGCGTCTGGTAAGTACCTAGCTAGCTAATTCATCTAGTTATTAACAAAATTCGTATCTGAGTGAGCCAAATGTTAGCAAATACCGCACGTTTTCCCCGTGTGATGTTGACGTCCCAGCCTTTTCAGACAGTAACGTCAGCTAGCTGCCGTGTGTGCGTTAATGATTAGCTGTAAACGAATCTGACTAGCCTAGCTAGCTTGTAATGTGTCAATGAATGAGTTAGCTTAAAAGTTAGCCGGCTAGCTAACGAGGTAGCACAATTCACCACAAATGTGATTTTGTTTATGTCATGTCGGTGAAGCAAGCTAAAAGACTGTTTGTGTCGTTCCTTCCTTCCTTCTGGTCCATGTATTCCGTTTCCTTGCCAGGCAAGTTGAGAAGTTCGGATGTCCTGGCTGCGCTCTCATCTAGCGCTGTGGTTGCAACTTGATTCCCCATTGGTTGTCACATCAGCTGCCTCACTCTCTTGAACGTCTGCAATATTTGGAGGTGCATATCCCACTTGCACACCATGACAGCATGCCCCATTCAAAATACTGAACAAATTCAAATGACAATGTTGACATTTTATTACTTTATTTGATGGACTGACATGGACTGGAAGATCTGGACATGGTGACAAAATGTCATGGGATTTGCAGAAAAAAATACATTGCCCAAACCTCCTGCAAACCAGCAGCATGCATACAATCCCCTTTAACAATACAATTAACCTTTAGAAAATAATCAACACTTAAAATATGAAACTGAAGCTAATTATAGTTTATTTATAGACTATACGCCTCAAGCATTGTTTACAATTAGTATGACCAACAAGGGACATACATCGTTTGAAAGATCTGCTCTGATAAAGTTGCTCAGTTACCGCCATTTTCCTGACTTTATAATAATGACTTGGGGGTAAATTACAAAATGTCCCAAACTGGCTGTGTATGGCAGAGAGAAACCTGTTGAGGGGATGTTCACTTCTTTCTCCCACCTCTCTCCTTCAGTGCCAGGTGTATGACTGAACCGTTGTTCATGTTGTAGTAGGCCAGCGAGTTAGAATCTTTGATGAAAATTCCCTGTAATGGAAGAAGTGATAGATGTAAATGACTCCAATGATAACCAATCATGTCAGTTTACATTTACACATACAATTATTGAAATGGGCACGACAATGCTTACCTCATACTGTAGCTTTTGTTTTCCAGCTGGCATGCCAGTGGCTTCATGGATTTTGACTTTAATAACAGATACCTGTGGTGAGAGAATTGGAAGTTCAGAAATATTCCAGAAAATTTGACTTAATGGACGTGCACTCCTGAGAATATATACTGTATGGGTAAAAGGGAGAGTGGAATGGTGGGTGAACTACTAACATACCTGATCTGTGAGTGGGACAGTGAAATTGAGCGCTTGTCCACTTAGCTTCCATTCCGTCTTGTCCTGCATGTTGGGAACTTGCACTTTGACCGACACTGAACCCTATAAAATAATATACAGTTGAATAATTATATTTGTACAGGAACCCTTACATGTCAATATACAGAACTACCAACAGCAAGCATAGGATGATCGACATGGCATATCTAAATCCAGCCATGGATCATTCACACTACCGCATTTTGCCATTAGTCCTTGACATTTAATTGGCCAACAAACCTTGTATATGCGGAGGAAATCCTCCTCTGGTATAAGGTTGTCCTCTGTCTTCATCTTCTTGCTGGCAGGCTCATCATCATGGCGTGGGGGTGGGTGGGAAGGTGGCTGCGGGTCAGGGCGGGGGGGCAGCGGGACGGGAGGGGCAGGGACAAATGCTGGACAGGGAAGAAGATTAAAATCAGTCAATCAATAACATGCTTAAAAATGGTAAATAAAGTAATTTGTTGCATTGCGTATTTCTGAAGTCATTCATTGGATTTCAAAGTATTTAACACTGTGGGAATAGTATAGCAATGGTTCTCTTACAAGTTGGGACCACCATGGGGGGTGGTCTGGGGGCCATCATGTGAGGTGGTTGGGGCATGGGCACCACGTTGATGCGGGGAGCATGCATCATGGGAGGCATGGGTGTTAGAACCTGCCCTGGGGCCAGGCGCATCTGCACAGGGGCCATGGGGGGCCGTGGAATCACAGGCACAGCTGAAAGGAGAGTGGTGCGTACAGGGGGCGGCATCTGCATGATTCACAAGGAAAAAGACAGTCAACCTTATATATTGACAAATTAATGTTACAGAAAATGAATGCTTTAGCACTTCTATTGAACAAGAAAGCAACTTACGGAAGGAGGGGCCCGAGCCATCGTGTTCATTGGAGGGCTGGGTTTGGGCAGAAGGGGGGCAGAGGAGATAAGGGGTGATTGATGATGATGGTAAAGCTCAGGCTTGCTCGGTCCAATCTTCTCTTTGCTTTCATCCTCCTGCACCAGTCCCTTGGCCTTGTGAATGGCCTCAATCTGCTCCTGTAGGGTGATGTTGGCCTGTGCTGCCTGCTGAGTACGCGCCATGCTGCCAGAGTGCCCATCCCAGGTCACCTAAGGAAGGAAGGTGCGTTAAGTAAAAACTCTGACCTCACAATGACAATGAAAATAAATAAGTTAAATAGAGATTATAACCTAATGACTAGTAAATCGATTCCTCTTAAGACATTTATTTTACACACAAAAAAAAAAATGGCATTCCCTCTCTCCACTTGCACTCACCTTCTCTTCAGGCTTCTGGATCTCCTCTTCTCCAATCTTCTTACCGATGGCTGTCTCCTCCACACCAAAGATATCAGTACGCCTCTCAGCCAACTGTTTCAGGCTGCTCTCAATGTCCATGCCAGGGGCGTAAACCTCGTCCTCGATTTGCCTCTCTCTGATGCCCCGGTCCCTCTGCTCCAGCCAGCGGGGATCCAGTAGTCCAATGCGCATGTGCTCCTGCATCTTACTGGCTTGGATCCTCTCACCCGTGATGGGAGAGATGAGGTACTCATCCAGAGTCTTGGCTGGAGGCTGTGGCTTGGAGGCTACAGGGCAAGAATAAGGGATCAAACGTAAGGGCAAATGAAGAATAGGCATGTATTTTCTTGTCCTTTATGTCGTACATGATATTAAAAACATCTAGCATAAGGGGTGTTTAGATCCTGATGACGCAATCTCTCTCACCTTTGGGGTCATAGTCCTTGCGGATAATGACCTGGTCAGGAGTAGGGGGCAGTGGGGGTGGCATGGGGTTGTCTGGGGGCAATGGTGCCTTGCCATCATCCTCGTCATCAGAACCCTGGGGAGAAGGCATCTTGATTACACTATTTCCTAATAATAGTAATATTACATTCAAATTCAAATCAGTAACTCTGAAGGAGTAATAAGCTGTTAATGACATCCTACTGTTGTGTGTGTATACTGAAACAGATATGTGTCTACTAACCTCATCCATGTCTTGCAGCTGTGTGTCCTGATCAGGCTGTGTGGGACGCCCATCTTCCCGCTCCTCCCGCTCATCGTCCTCCTCATCCTCGCTTTCAACCTCCATCTCCACCTCCTCGCTCTCTCCAAACTTGTCATAACGCTCCTGGGTCAGGATGCGAGCTCCCAGCTCCTCAGGTGTGGTGGGTGGGGGGAAGTGGCCTGTTGGAACACAAGTCATAACATCATCATTACGAAACAAGTGACACAGGGGGTGAATAACAATCTCTCAGGAACAGAAAATGAACTATCTATTCATATTAATTTGTATTGCTGACAGTTAATTTCACTACCTTGTTCATTAGGCTGGAAGTCCACGGTCTCCACCACTACAAAGTCATGCCAGTCAATTTGGGCGTAGGACACACGCTCTTTCTCCCGCTCCTCCTCCTCCTTCTTCCTTTCACGTTCCTGGAACTTCGCCCACTCAACACGGTACCTCACCTGTTGGTAAAGCCAGGTGATAAGCTGTTAATGCATGGAATTATAGAATTTGGCAATTTTAAGAGCTTATGGTGGGTAAACCCTACATCGAAGCTTCAGGGACATACCTGGTCCAGCACCTCCCTGGGGTTCTCAGACTCTCTTTTCAGCTTTATCAGAAGTCCCTTGGGAGGGATCAGAATCTAGGGGAAAAAGACCCAAGACAAACACAGGTGAGCATCACAACGAGCTGAAGACATGTTCTACTACTAACAAACCAAACTATTTGAATGATATATTTCAACAAGGTATATGCCACAATCAAGAATAATTGGTACAACGCTGTACCTTAGTGTACTGCTCCACCAGCTTGGTGAAGTAGTTGAAGAGGCTGTGTTGAGGTCGCAGGAAGTCAAACTGGTAGTTTCGCTGTTCTTTCTGCATGAGCTGTGTGAGGAACTGGCGCCCGTTGCGAGCAACAAACTGGGCGGTCAGCTTGACAACATCCAGGTCGAATGCTGAGATTGAAGGAGGGTCAGCAATGAACTCAAACTCGGGTGGAGGCTCCTTTGGCACCACTGTCTCATGAATCACCTGAGCCTGCACCTACCGGTAAAGGAAACCATAACTTAGAATAGCTCTTTTTAGGCATCAATCACGTCTTACACTTTAAAGTGAACTATTGACAATCAGTGATTTATAAAATCAATAGATAAGGAACCACCAAATGCCTAGGAAGGCACACCTTTTGAGGAAGCTGCTGTGAGTTCTGCAGGGCCTGCTGCTGCATGACCTTTGGTACGGCTGCAGACGGCTCCTGGCCCTTGCCCTCCTTGAATTCATTGACTTTGTGGCGGTAGTAGGCATGGTATGGGTCGTTGGGGTTCAGGAAGTTGAACTTTGGGTTGTTGATCTCATTCTGACGGATCCTTGCCTCGAACTCTGGTCCATTCCTGAGAATTAATGGAAGGAAAATGATGCATAATCATTGCAATATGACGTCATACATAAGACTTTATATAATTTTATAAAAACATGACAGAATGAGACTGAAAAGCCAACCTGGCTACAAAACTGGCAGTCTTGTCAACGATGTTTCGGACCTCAGGAGGTGGATAGATGATCCCAACTATGGGTTTCGTTGCTGGGGTTTCCTCTGTTGGCTCATCTGCCTGTTGAAACAATATATAATGCAGAAATTACCTGTCTCGCGAGGCTTTATAAATGTCTTCACGTCTGGCTTATAAGAGATCTGTATATAATGAGGAGATGCTCATGTCTCCGCCCTAACAATGAGTAATTGTCCCAAACGCGGGAAGGCAGGCAACAAGCTTAGGTCGAAAATAAGCCCATAGAAAACACATTAGGCTTATTTTAGACAGATTTTGGCAAGAGGTTCGCCTCTTCCTTTCTACTGCCGTGCACAGGTCGGCTGATCCAGCAGCAGGAAAGGTAATTGATTTGATCACCTACAACAGTGTATGAACGTCATATCAATCTGTTGTTTCACCCGCACTACACTGAATGCTATAGTACACTGCTCAAAAAAATAAAGGGAACACTTAAACAACACATCCTAGATCTGAATGAATGAAATAATCTTATTAAATACTTTTTTCTTTACATAGTTGAATGTGCTGACAAAAATCACACAAAAATTATCAATGGAAATCAAATTTATCAACCCATGGAGGTCTGGATTTGGAGTCACCCTCAAAATTAAAGTGGAAAACCACACTACAGGCTGATCCAACTTTGATGTCATGTCCTTAAAACAAGTCAAAATGAGGCTCAGTAGTGTGTGTGGCCTCCACGTGCCTGTATGACCTCGCTACAACGCCTGGGCATGCTCCTGATGAGGTGGCGGATGGTCTCCTGAGGGATCTCCTCCCAGACCTGGACTAAAGCATCCGCCAACTCCTGGACAGTCTGTGGTGCAACGTGGTATTGGTGGATGGAGCGAGACATGATGTCCCAGATGTGCTCAATTGGATTCAGGTCTGGGGAACGGGTGGGCCAGTCCATAGCATCAATGCCTTCCTCTTGCAGGAACTGCTGACACACTCCAGCCACATGAGGTCTAGCATTGTCTTGCATTAGGAGGAACCCAGGGCCAACCGCACCAGCATATGGTCTCACAAGGGGTCTGAGGATCTCATCTCGGTACCTAATGGCAGTCAGGCTACCTCTGAAATGCCACCCCACACCATGACTGACCCACCGCCAAACCGGTCATGCTGGAGGATGTTGCAGGCAGCAGAACGTTCTCCACGGCGTCTCCAGACTCTGTCACGTCTGTCACATGTGCTCAGTGTGAACCTGCTTTCATCTGTGAAGAGCACAGGGCGCCAGTGGCGAATTTGCCAATCTTGGTGTTCTCTGGCAAATGCCAAACGTCCTGCACAGTGTTGGGCTGTAAGCACAACCCCCACCTGTGGACGTCGGGCCCTCATACCACCCTCATGGGATATGCTTAACACCCCGGCCATCCTACAATCTAAACTAGATGCCCTCAATCTCACACAAATTATCAACGAACCTACCAGGTACAACCCTAAATCCGTAAACATGGGTACCCTCATAGATATCATCCTGACTAACTTACCCTCTAAATACACCTCCGCTGTCTTCAACCAGGATCTCAGCGATCACTGCCTTATTGCCTGCGTCCGTAACGGGTCCGCGGTCAAACGACCACCCCTCATCACTGTCAAACGCTCCCAAAAACACTTCAGCGAGCAGGCCTTCCTAATTGACCTGGCCCAGGTATCCTGGATGGATATAGATTTCATTCCGTCAGTAGAGGATGCCTGGTTGTTCTTTAAAAGTAATTTCCTCTCAATCTTAAATAGACATGCCCAATTCAAAAAATACACAACTAAGAACAGATATAGCCCCTGGTTCTCCTCAGACTTGACTGCCCTTGACCAGCACAAAAACATCCTGTGGCGTACTGCATTAGCATCAAATAGCCCCCGCGATATGCAACTTTTCAGGGAAGTTAGGAACCAATATACACAAGCAGTTAGGAAAGCAAAGGCTAACTTTTTCAAACAGAAATTTGCATCCTGTAGCACTAACTCCAAAAAGTTTTGGGACACTGTAAAGTCCATGGAAAATAAGAGCACTTCCTCCCAGCTGCCCACTGCACTGAGGCTAGGAAACACTATCACCACCGATAAATCTACAATAATCGAGAATTTCAACAAGCATTTTGCTACGGCTGGCCATGCTTTCCACCTGGCTACCACTACCCCGGCCACCAGCTCTGCACCCTCCGCTGCAACTTGCCCATGCCCCCACCGCTTCTCCTTCACACAAATCCAGACAGCTGATGTTCTAAAAGAGCTGCAAAATCTGGACCCCTACAAATCATCTGGGCTAGACAATCTGGACCCTTTCTTTCTAAAACTAGCCGCCGAAATTGTCGCAACCCCTATTACTAGCCTGTTCAACCTCTCTTTCGTAACGTCTGAGATCCCCAGAGATTGGAAAGCTGCCGCGGTCATCCCCCTCTTCAAAGGGGGTGACACTCTAGATCCAAACTGTTACAGACCCATATCCATCCTGCCCTGCCTTTCAAAAGTTTTTGAAAGCCAAGTCAACAAACAGATCACCGACCATTTCGAATCCCACCGTACCTTCTCCGCTATGCAATCCGGTTTCCCAACTGGTCATGGGTGCACTTCAGCCACGCTCAAGGTCCTAAACGATATTATAACCGCGATCGATAATAGACAGTACTGTGCAGCCGTTTTCATTGACCTGGCCAAGGCTTTCGACTCTGTCAACCACCGCATTCTTATTGGCAGACTAAATAGCCTTGGTTTCTCAAATGACTGCCTCGCCTGGTTCACCAACTACTTCTCAGATAGAGTTCAATGTGTCAAATCGGAGGGCCTGTTGTCTGGACCTATGGCAGTCTCTATGGGGGTGCCACAGGGTTCAATTCTTGGGCCGACTCTTTTCTCTGTGTATATCAATGACGTCGCTCTTGCTGCTGGTGACTCTCAGATCCACCTCTACGCAGACGACACCATTTTGTATACATCTGGCCCTTCATTGGACACTGTGTTAACAAACCTCCAAACGAGCTTCAATTCCATACAACACTCCTTCAGTAGCCTCCAACTGCTCTTAAACACTAGTAAAACTAAATGCATGCTCTTCAACCGAACGCTGCTTGCACCCGCCCACCCGACTAGAATCACTACTCTCGACGGGTCTGACCTAGAGTATGTGGACAACTACAAATATCTAGGTGTCTGGTTAGACTGTAAACTCTCCTTCCAGACTCACATTAAGAATCTCCAATCCAAAGTTAAATCTAGAATCGGTTTCCTATTTCGCAACAAAGCCTCCTTCACTCATGCTGCCAAACATGCCCTCGTAAAACTGACTATCCTACCGATCCTTGACTTCGGCGATGTCATTTACAAAATAGCCTCCAACACTCTACTCAGCAAATTGGATGTAGTCTATCACAGTGCCATCCGTTTTGTCTCCAAAGCCCCATATAATACCCACCACTGTGACCTGTACGCTCTTGTTGGCTGGTCCTCACTACATATTCGTTGCCAAACCCACTGGCTCCAGGCCATCTATAAATCACTGCTAGGCAAATCCCCGCCTTATCTTAGCTCATTGGTCACCATAGCAACACCCACCCGTAGTCTGCGATCCAGCGGGTATATCTCACTGGTCATCCCCAAAGCCAACACCTCCTTTGGCCGCAATTCCTTCCAGTTCTCTGCTGCCAATGACTGGAACAAATTGCAAAAATCTCTGAAGCTGGAGACACTTATCTCCCTCACTAACTTTAAGCATCAGTTGTCAGAGCACCTTACCGATCACTGCACCTGTACACAGCCCATCTGAAATTAGCCCGCCCAACTACCTCATCCCTATATTGTTATCTATTTTGCTCATTTGTACCCCAGTATCTCTATTTGCACATCATCTCTTGCACATCTATCATTCCAGTGTTAATACTAATTGTAATTATTTTGCACTATAGCCTATTTTATTGCCTACCTCCATAACTTGCTAAATTTGCACACTGTATATTATATGTATTTCTGTTGTATTTTTGACTTTGTTTTGTTTTACCCCATATGTAACTCTGTGTTTGTTTTTATCGCACTGCTATGCTTTATCTTGGCCAGGTCGCAGTTGTAAATGAGAACTTGTTCTCAACTGGTTTACCTGGTTAAATAAAGGTGAAATAAATAAAATAAAAATAAATAAATGGAGTCTGTTTCTGACCGTTTGAGCAGACACATGCACATTTGTGGCCTGCTGGAGGTCATTTTGCAGGGCTCTGGCAGTGCTCCTCCTGCTCCTCCTTGCACAAAGGCGGAGGTAGCGGTCCTGCTGCTGGGTTGTTGCCCTCCTACGGCCTCCTCCACGTCTCCTGATGTACTGGCCTGTCTCCTGGTAGCGCCTCCATGCTCTGGACACTACGCTGACAGACACAGCAAACCTTCTTGCCACAGCTCGCATTGATGTGCCATCCTGGATGAGCTGCACTACCTGAGCCACTTGTGTGGGTTGTAGACTCCGTCTCATGCTACCACTAGAGTGAAAGCACCGCCAGCATTCAAAAGTGACCAAAACATCAGCCAGGAAGCATAGGAACTGAGAAGTGGTCTGTGGTCACCACCTGCAGAACCACTTCTTTATTGGGGGTGTCTTGCTAATTGCCTATAATTTCCACCTGTTGTCTATTCCATTTGCACAACAGCATGTGAAATGTATTGTCAATCAGTGTTGCTTCCTAAGTGGACAGTTTGATTTCACAGAAGTGTGATTTACTTGGAGTTACACTGTGTTGTTTAAGTGTTCCCTTTATTTTTTTGAGCAGTGTATTTCATGTAAGTAGATAATACAGTGTACGTTTTTACAGTGATTGTATATTTCTATAAAAGGCTTATTTTATTTCCATTTCTAATATTGCAGGAGGTGCATGCGCACTTGCTAAAAAACAATACTTAGATTCTTTGCAGACAAGGCATTTTTTTGGTTGCATGCAACTTTTTATTTAGACTTTTTGGAAGTACATACCAGCCTGGACGGCAGTAGTTGCTCAGCGAAACTCTTTGTTAAGTACTGAACAACGAGGTAAAGACAGTTTCAGGTTGGATATTAACGCTTTCAAACCTCAATAGCTTTCAAACCACTTGAGCAAATAAATATCATGCTGTTGGAAAAATTGCGCACAACATTGCACAGGTCTTATTTTCACGATTTG